CGCCAAGTGAATCCTGACTAGGCATAATGCAGTTTAGTAAACCCGCAGGTGGGTGTTGCGCCTTGAGACCTTCGGCCTTTCGCCAGCTTGCCAGGAGCAACTCTGCTCCCCGCGCGCCCTAAACAAACAGCCGCACCCCGGGCCTCAACTGGTGGCTGTGGGCAGGACACGGGGGCGAGGGGCACATAGCAGAGACGGAGACGCCTTGGGATGCAGATTAAAAGCGGCCAAGAGTGGCTGTCCGAAATGCCGAGACCTGCGAAACTGCACTAGAGCTCCCTCCCTAAGCCACCCGCTCAATTCTCGCCCCAGATCCTACCATGCCCGCCATCGCCTGGTTGTGCCCTTGCGGTAGCAGCGTCAGCCTAGGGAGGGCCAGGCGCCCTGTTCCCAGTTGAGCGTTCTGCCTCTGCGGGAGCTCTAAGATAACCCAGACATCTTTGGGGGCCTGACTAGCGGATGAGTGCTGGCCGGGACACGGCTGGACCAGGAGGAAGTAGCACCATCCCTCCCAACCCCCACCTCGACCCTTTTCTCTGCCCAGAGACTCAAGTTTAAAAACAAGTCTGCCAAGGGAGTAGGGTTAGAGAACGAGATTCTGTCCGAGGTGCTGAAGAAAAGCGGAAACGCTGCCAAAGGCTTTGGGCTGCAGCGAATTGTTGAGCCTAGAAAACCGGCGTGGAGATCTTACAGAAGCCGTAGCTGTCTGTGGAGCTTACAACCCTTACAGGAAGTCCCCGGGGTCCCTAAGGAAAACCGAGGGACCTTTAAAAAGGTCCCAGAAGGCGAAGGACAGAAAAACTGTCTCTAGAGATGGAATTGAGTCTCAGGAACCTTGGACAGCTTTAGGGGCGGTGCATGCCAAAGAAGCTTGAGGCCCCGCTACCCGTCCCCGAGGCAGCCCGGGTGTATGCCGCTGATTTCTGCCTCGCTCTTCCACAGAGCCTCCGACAGACCCCTACGGCCAGCAACCCCCTACTGAGAGCCTGGCCCCCAGGTGGCAGCTGACCTGGATGGTCTGTCTGTTGTAGACTTTCACCACGTGGAAGTTAAAACTGTAGATCCCTTTGCGCGGGGCGATGAAAGTGCTCCGTTCTGAGTCAAAGTTGTTCCCGATGTTCACTAGTACCTATAAGGAGACAGGAAAGAAAGGAGGTAGACCGGAGTCCATCCCAGCGTGGTCCTCTAGTCTCCGCAGAGCCCTTGGAGAGGATCCCGCTTCTGATTTCCACGCTCTCCTTGTCACCCCCTCACCAATCCGTTCTGGATGCTGCAAGAAAACGGGGGGAACTCACCTGGTCGAAGTAGATGATCATGGTGCGATTACTCATCTCGGACGGCTCATGGTTCGTGCTCCTGATGGCAGAGAAAGCCACCTTGGCGCTGCCCGATCGCACGGAGATGCCCAGAGCAGTGCCCGTAGGGTCAGACGTGGGGTTGGAGTCACACACCACCAGACACTTGCCCTCCAGCACGATGGGCTCTGTCTCATTCTGCCCG